TTTAGAACATTTTTATATAATATTCTTTAATTTTTTATTTCATTATTAAGAATTGATTTTTTCTCCCATTTATCACCACGCTGGGCTGGCTGAACTCTATAATGTTTAAATTCTCTAGAAATTTTTAAGAAGTGTCCACAAGGTATTTGTAATATTATCATAAAATTATTTTGTTTATAATATTGAAATTATTGTATGAAATCATTTCCTAATAATATATCACATTCTAATTTATCATATTTATAAATTTTGTTTATTGTCACTTGTTTACTTCCAAAAATTATATTAATTTTATCAGCACTATTAATTATTTGAGTACTTTCTCCTGCAATACCAGTTATTTTTATATTACTATTATTATTCCATGATTTTATTAAAAAACTTTTAAATATTGTTATATCACTTCCTGTATCTATTAAAGCACAAGTTGTAATATTTGTTTCTACAATAGTAATTTGTATATACACTGCTAATGAAAAACTGATCTGATTATTCATCTAATATTTTTTACATAATGTAGTTTGTCTATTATGAACAATATATAATCCTTCTCTTTTTATACTATAATCTTCTAATCCATTTAGAAAACTCATTCCTAAAAGTATATGAGGGTTTATATCCATACTTCTATCTATGTAATATGGTACTAAGAGATCTATTCCTCCTATTTTTATTGGTACCTTAACTTCTAAATCTGTTATATGTACTTGTCCATCAAAATTTACATACTTATATGGTTCAATTTTATGAGTTATTAGCCTTTTGTTTCTAATTGAAGCTATATGACATTCACTGGCTCCTGTATCTATTAATATATTGGGTCCATTTATATTTTCTCTTCCATTATAATATTTTCCTTCTGTTTTCATGTTTCCAGCATTCTTATATGATTTCATTTCTTTTATTTTGTTGATTTCTTCTAGCTGATTTTTATTAGGCATTTTAAGACTTTTTGATCTTTTGATTAATTTTCTATCCTTAAATGTTATGTCATTAGAACATTCTCCTTCACCAATTCTATTATTTCAAATTTATTTTTTGTTATACTAAATTCATATTCTTCTGGAATTAAATTTATTTGTTTATTTGATTCTATTATTTTACTAATATCTTTACATTCTTTATGAATTTCAATATATGGTTTATTGGAATAAATATTTCCATAATTAGAATTGGTAAATGTATATAAAACTCTATATTCTATAGTCATGATTTGATCTCTTGGTTGCATAATATCATCTCTATGAAACTTGAAATGTAGTCCTAAAACTTCATTAAAATTTCTATCTTTTAATGATACACAATATTTTGGATAACATGTAAATATAATTTTTTGATATGCTAAATTTCTTTCTATTGTTCCTAAAAGACTATCTTTTAAATTTATTATTCTTCCATCATGTAATGTTATAGTTAAAGGTGAATCTATTCCTTCTCTAAATAGTGATTTAAACATTATTTGTATTCCTGCTAAATAAACATATTGAATTTTTTCATTTTGTTTTTTACTAATCTTTGTTAATAGTTCATCAACTGTATTTCTTGTTAAAAGATTTAATTTATGTTGCCCATAAGTTGTTCTTACATCTATAGTTTTTTCTATTTTGTGATATTCGCTTATTGCTATTCTTTCTCTTTTCCAAATCATATCAAAGACTTCCCATTTTCCTATTTTTAAGTCTAACAATAATTTTTGCAATTTTCTAAACTTGTTATTGTCAAAAGTGACTTTTAATCCATATCCTTCTATTCCTTCATATTCTTGTATATTTATATTACTACTTTCTATTTCTTCAATTTCTTTATTTAGATCCTGATCCATCTTCTTCTGTTTTACTTATATATACTCATTGATCATAATATTCTTCAATATCTGATATTTCACTTAATTTATCTTTTATTTCTAAATATTCTTTTTGTAATATTCTTACTTTCTTTTTATCACAATCAGGCTTTATATGACCCATCTATCCACAATTCCAACATTTACATTGACTTTTATTTTTCTTATAATTTTTATTTTTCTGTTGATTATATGAGTTATTTTTTCTTTTATAATACATTCTTTTAGGTTTTATTTATTTTTTTATTAAAATTTCTAAATTTTTTAAATTTTTTATTTTTATATTTTCTTTTATTAATTTTTCTTTCAGGATTACATCCTCATTACACATGAGTTTCCATATCTTCACAACATATTTTAGTTAGTTTTCCTGATTTTTTTATTAATTGCCTTTGTTGATATATATATGTAAGTCTTTCAAATAAAAATTTTATTCCTGAACCTAAAGTTCTAGGTATTCTACTATTATCTCTAACATATTTTTTAGATTCTATTTTAAAATTATTTCCCATAAACCTGGTAACTTATTATAATACATGTCTTGGTATACTTCTTGATTTTCATTACTACAAAACTGAACATAATAGTAATTTCTAAATTCACAAGTATATTATTTATTTTTACACATATCACATATTGTTAAATTTATTAATTTTATTCTAGCATTATCTTTTTCTCTTATTGATTCATTTTCAACATTTCTTATCCAATTTTCTCCTAAAAACTCATCTGAAATATATTCCACTAATTTTTCTATACCTTGTCTATCTGATTTGATTATTTCTGTTTGCACATTTCTTTTTATTAATGTTTTTGTATCATTGCTTATTCCTTTCCACCAATTTCTAACATTTCTTTCAAATGATGCAATTAAGAAATCTATTCTTCTTTCAGTATTTTCCCATGTGTCATCTTTGTTATATAAAAAAAATAATATCATTGAATCAGCCCAAGTTAATAAGACTTTTTTAGTATCTATCTTCCAATTTAAATTTAGTTTTGTTCCTCCATGATTAATTGGCTTATCATAATAATCATTTAATTCAAATCTGTTCTTATATTTATTTCCTTTAGGTGGTTGTCTATTTCTTACTTTATCATAGAATTGTCTATATGATTTATTATATATAGGTGCATAATTTTCATTTGTATCATGTAATTCCTGTTTAGAAGTTCCTGCTGAATTAGGTCCTCCTCCAGTGTTCATTAAAACTTGGTATTCACTTATATCAGTTAAGCTCAATTGATCAAAATTTTCTATTAACAAATCTAAATCTTCATTCATCTTCTTTTTCTTCTACTTTTAATTTTCCTAATGATTTTTCTCTAGTTTCTTCTTCTTCTAATATCTTTGGTAATATATTTTTTCTAAATTCATCATCCATACTTCCTGTTTCTATTACTATATTTTCCTTTTCTATATATTTCTTTCCTATTAGAGTCATTTCTTTTTTCTATAAGTTTTTTATCTATTTGTTTTATCTTTATTCTTATTATTTTCTTTTAATTCTCTAATATCAATTTTTAATATAATTATATCGTTTCTTGTTTCTTTTACTTCATTTCTTAAATCTTGTATAACATTTATTAACATTTATATTAATAATTTTAATTCTTCCATATAGTCACTTATTGACATTTTAATTTTTTCTTATTTCTAACTCATAAGTTAATTTGCATCTTTTATCTTCTTTTTTATCTATTATTTTTCTAAATCTTCTCTCAACTGTTTCTAGATCTACTAATTATTCTTTTACTATAGTGAAATATTTGCTCTCAAGTCTTAGTCTTTCACATTTTAATTTTGTTAATTGTCTTTTTTTAATACTCTCATTCATTCTGGTATTAACATTATATTTCTTATTTCTTCTTGTATTTTATCCATTTTTAAAAATAATTTATTCAATTTTTGATGTGTATTATCAATTGCACTCATATTTTTCTTTATAATATAAATTATTTTCTTCATCTTCATATATACTAATAATTTTTTTCATATGTATATATATCATTTATTGTTTCTATTATTAATTTTTCTAATATTTGTTTTTTTATTTCTTTAGGAAGTTTTTTAATTATTGTCAAAGTCATTATTTTTAATTTATTATGAATAGGTTTTAAAAATATATAACTACATTTTTCTTCTTCTAAACACCAATAATTATTTATTTTCTTTATTTTAATTTTCATGATCTCTATGGCTCTGATAGGAGGGCTACTTAGAGCGAACAAAAATGAAATAAATCAAATACATCAAAAAAATATTAATCAAATAAATTAAATAAAATTATCAAGTTTCAATCAATGTCTAAATTTTTAAGGACTAAAATAGAAAATTTTTATATTATGGTACCTTATTATGTAATATTCAAATGGAGGGTATTTTTGGTATGAAATTTGTCTAAGGGCCATTTTGGAAAACTAACCCTTTTGAAAAGGTCATTTCCATGTATTTCCCCAAATCTAGTGGGTTGCTAAGTGGTGATAAATTATAAATCTGTTAAGAGTGATGGTGCTCTAACACGACAAATGTCAGAGAACTATGTATCGATAGTGGCGGTGATGATTGACGATGACGGTGTCAAAAGTGGAAGCAACATGTGGGGTGGCGGTCATGTTGATTTACACTTCGAATGCACAGTCATTGGTAGTTCATGACGACAAATAGGTGTGTGGGCCACTTGGTTCTTGTAATGGTGGTGGTTAGATAGGGTTTAGGGCAAGTGATCTTGGTAGAGATGGTTGTGGTGTCAGCGAATGTGGTTATTAGCGTTGATGGGTGTCAATGACGGCCATGGCGACGATAGTGATCTATGTAACATAATATGTTACACGTGTTACAAAAGTACGACATATATACTATCGAGTACAAAAAGTGTAACACAAAATGTTAATATATCACATTATTTGTTTAGCAAAAAATGTTGAATGTTATGTTTAAAAATACTTGAAAAAATTGATCTATTTGGTGCAAGTAAATGTAACAACTAATTAGAGGTGTGTAACTAGTTATACTCGTGTAAATTAAATATATATAACATTAGAATCATCATATTTCATGACAATCCAATGTTTTCATTTATGTCGTTACATGATTTATCTTCTACTCAAAGTGATTTCTAGAACGATGATTAATATGATATGATCACTCATTCTAAATAGTTAATAGAATTCAACATTATAATCAACCAAAAAGTATCAAACATTTCTTATTTGCGCCTCGCGTGCGATTTGAGAAGATAGTCTTCTACAAGGCGTCCATAATATACGAGAAAAGCGGTGCTAAGACAGTTCGGACCCACTTTCGGCTTAAAACCCACACAGCCTCACCAAAAACCTTGCTTAGTGACAATGGCAAACAAGCCAGAAATCGTGCAAGAAATTGAAGATGAAGAAGATGGGCCACCGCCTGGGTTTCAGTCCATCATCACTCAGCAGGCACCTCAATCGAATTTGCCGTCTGGCAAAGCTGAAGGCGGTGACGGAAGTGGCGGTGAAGAAGAAGGTCCACCGCCTGGGTTTCACTGCATGAATCTGCCTGCGCCACATTCTGGTGAGACGGATTATTGGAGCCATACCCATTTCATTTTAATCATTCCTTTTGTTGTTGCATCATCAAATTGTTGTCTTTTCCGAAATTTTAAATAAAGAATTTGTATAATAATTTTCTCCCACAAGAATGCACGCACCCTCGCTGAAGAAAAAGATTATAACTTTTCAAATTTATGTTTGTATCTTGAAAAGATTGAATTTTTCAAAGACTCAACTTTTTGCATAAATCGTGGAAAATTTTGGGCTTTCTACCTATGCGAGAAAGACTAAAACTGTGAATCATCTCTTGAGATTTGGTTCTTGCGTGTATATATCATTGCCAAGTTTTTGTTGTTGCTGGTCAGATATGTTGGAGTCTACAATCTGAACAGTTAGTTTATTTACGGTATATTAAGCGGATTTCAGTTGTGACTTGCCAATTTATGAAGTTTCCTTAGGCAGTTCTCTTGCGTCTTTTAAATTTAACTGACCCTGTCTCTACTAATTGCTACGGTATCTTTTGTAGTTTCATTGCTTCTAATTATCGTGGTATGGGTGACAAAATTTATTGCACACATGCATTAAACATAATCTGACAATAAAAAGCGTCTTCCTTTTAAGCTTCCCAGTTCCCACCATGTAATGGATGGGGAACGACAAATTAGAGAATACAAAGTGACGTCCAATTATTTATTTGGTTGTTTAATATCCTAGCAGCTCCATTTAAATCTTTAATATTACCGCAAATGGTATCGAAAAGTTGTATTTTGATTTATGTTGGTCTTCTTAGAACTAGTTGATGATTTATGTAATCAATCAACTTATTGTCATTGTTCAGATATGGAAACAAGGGGCAAACGAAATGACTTTGAAGATGATGAAGATTCACCCCCGCCAGGGTGGGAATTTAATACTCTTTCTCGAGCGTTACCATCAAAACCACCATCAAATACAGCAGGTCATATATGTTCTCCTATTTTATTGCATTTTGTCCCTGAGCTCTCTGAACAATTGCACATCTGTGTAGCTCTTTGGTAGCTAATTTTTTCACTTGCTTGTTTGAGGCGTGCCCGTTATTGACCTTACTTTGGAAAGATACTTGATCAATTATATAACGAATTAAGTCATTGTCATCATTCAGATTTGGAAATGGGGGGCAAACAAGACAGCATTCTAGATGGTGGGGATTGCCCCCCGCCAGGGTGGGAATATGGTACTCTTTCTCAAGCATTACCAGCAAAACCACAATCGAATACAGCAGGTCATATCTATGCTTTTTCTATTTTATCGTATTTAAACTGTGAACTCTCTTGGAACAAGCGAATAGTGTGAGGGAGCTTTGCATCTGTGTAGCTTTTATCTGAAATAATATATCCCCTGCTTGTTCGAGGCATGCACGTTAATCTTGATATGTTTGAAAAGCTTCTTGATTATTTATAAACTGAATCGAATTGCTGTCATTGTTCAGATATAAAAATGAGGGGCAAACAAGACGGATTTGAAGATGACGGAGATGGCCCCCCTCCAGGGTGGGAATTTCATGCTCTTTCTCAAGCATTACCATCACAACCACCATTAAATAAAGCAGGTTATATTTCTCCTAATTTTATTGCATTTAGTCTGTGAACCCTCTTGGAATAAGTGTACAATTTAACGTGGCTTTGCCATCCTTAGAGCTTTTCTTTGATCTAATTCTGCCCCCACTTGTTTGATGCATGCTTGTTTACCCCTTAACTTTGCAGCAATTTTTGCTCTGGACTCTGCTCGCTATAATGTAATACCTAATTTCAGAAAAATATTCATCAGTGAGTCTTTGTTCATAATGAACTAAGAGTTGATTTGAAGAATGAGAATTTTCGAAAGCTGCATCATTTAGACTGTGCACACGATCTCTTTTCAAACCTAAGTCTGACACAATCAACTCGTCAAATTTGAGCAATGTTCTGTAACTGGAAATTTCATGAATTACTAGACCAACGGTTCATAAAATTCAGCTTCACCTTTTTGGCGTGTTTCAAACTTCTTGATGCCTCTGGTTGATATGTGTATTACCTTGTACATCTCAGATAAAAAAATGGATAGCAATGAACTGCATGAGGATGAAGATGACGGCCCCCCACCTGGATGGGAAACAACTTTTCCACATCAGGTGCTGCCGCCATATGAACCACCTATGCAGCCATCATTAGCTGTTTCTTCTGGTGAGCCTTCCCCCTTACCCATCATTGTTCGATTCATATATGAATTTTGCTGTCATTCAACTCACTGTTGTGAATTCCATTTCAAGTTTCACATGCAATTGCTTAGGTACAATGCATATTTTGTGTATGTTCATTATTGCTTGAATATTTATTGGTAATAATTGGTCTTTGGGGGCGTGCACCGGTGGTAACTGTTATGAACGGTCTGATCCTGAAACTGGATATGGATCTCTTTCATTACATTCCTTTCGTGTGTTGAACTGAAGTGATTTCTAATCACAACCATTTTTGTAGTCGTAATTAACATGTATTACATGTTATTTCTAGATTTTTGTAAGTCGTGAAAAAATGTTACTCTTAGATATTGAATGAATACTACGCAACACAAAAATGTAACAGATAATTAAAAAAAAAAAAAAAAAACACTTTCATGCTTTGATTATGGCTTCTTTTTTAAAAGTGTTTAATGCTCTAGAAAAATATGAATAAAGAGCTAGGAAAGTTTAAAAACATTTAAAGCCTGTTTGTCTCCCAGAAATTATAGAGTTTTGAATAGTATTTTTTGGAGAATGTGTGGTTAAAATTTAAAGAAACTTTATTGGTTTGTGTGTAGAATATTTTATTGTGTGAATGTATGATAGAGAATATTATTGTAGCAAACAATTTAATTTGTTAAATGATTACAAACAGGGGCTTAATTCAGTAATAATTACTAAGCAAATATGTGAAAAGAAGAAATGGTTGACACACAAGCACCAACAAAATAAATAATCTTCTATCTTTAGATCTTAGGATTGGAAATGCATTGTCACATATAGGGTCGAGAAATCAAATCGTGTTGTCTACCTTTTAAGCATCCACTTTGATACATAAACGTGAATATAATTTCATTACCTTAATGTACACATAATATTGTATTGAATATGAAGTGCATGGTTTTAGATAATTAAGTAGAAAAATGATCGATAAAGATTAAAAGAGTACTTACGTAGATTTTGATTAAAAAAAGGTAGAGAGAAATTTTGATCAAAAGAGATGATGGTGAATTTTATAGTTGTTGGTTGAAGTTTAAATTTGTATTGGAGAAATATTGTATGACTATAAATGGATACATTGAATGAGAAGTCAACATTTAGAACCGAATGAATTGAAGAGTTTAGTATAATAGTTCAATGAATCTATGAGGGTACTATTGGAATAATGTAAATGGACGTTTATACAATTGTCCATAAATTGGTTATAGTTAAGAAAATGGCAGAGAGAGAAATTTTGATAAAAAGAGAGGTGATGTATTTAGTAGCTGGTTATTCAAGTTTGAATTTGTAATGAAGAAATATGAAGGGATTTATTATCATAAATGGATATATTTAATGAGAAACCAAGATTAGAATGGACGTTTTGAAGAGTTTAGTAAAACAGTTCGATGCACGTATGGAGGGTGCTGTTGGAATATTCTAAGCAAGACTGTTAATGATGTCTCCATTTCTATTTTAATCCTTAGTTACCCCCACCCCGTTCTCTATCTCCTCTCACCTTCCACTTTCCCATAACTCGTATCTGCAACCAAATCAATGCTTAGTACAGAAAATGTATTTGGACATATCTCAAGCTCTTCTTGCATGAACTTACTTCTGGAAGTGTGAGTATATGTATGGTTTTAAAATACCCTCTCGGAGGTGCAAATAAAAAGTATTGAGTTGCAAATTTTGAAAACCATTTATGAGGCTTACGCTTCTACTAACTAAGCAGTAAGCCTCACATCATTCTTTCTTTTTTGTTTAGTTTTCTAGGCTGGGCCCCACATGAATTAAAAATCATTATTTTATTTTAATATTTGCTTTGAAAAATCCAGTATCATTATGTTAAATAAAAACAGTCATATAAAAAGAGTTGCTTAAGAATATCCAGCAAGGAAAAGCACCAATACAACTCGCAAAAGCTATCTCTTGCTCTGATAATCTAGCTACGACATAAGCTACGGTAGAAGGTGACTGGGTAGTTGATGACTCGATGATATCGAATATCAAGTTTTTTCTCGTTTTTCTGATTTTCATTTCTATTTTTTGGTTGTTTGGCTTATTTTGCCTTGTGCTCGGTGTGAATCTTTGTCTCATCTCTTCTTTTATGTTCCTTTTTTTTTTTTTTTTTTTTTTAAATCCTTTTTAAGTTCGAGTTTTTTTTTTTTTTTTTTTCAATAATGATTAGAGGAAAGCATACCTGTTGTTTTTAATATATAGAGATGATTTCCTTATCTAGATAACTAATATAGTGATAGAAGATGCATTTTTTCTTTCTACAATAGGATCAAACTTGTATATATATGTTGATGCACAATCAATAAATTCATTCTGTCAATTAAATAATTTTCATGTTGGTATCAGAGCAAGGAAATCTCTGCAATTTTTCCTAACCCTAGCTCCGGTTCAATTAAAAACCTTAGCTTGAACCCTTCTGGTTCGAAATGTTTGGAAACCTATCTTGTCTTGATTGATTGTTCCCAACCCAGCTTAAGCCTAGTTGGAATCATAAGGTGGTACGCAAGCCTATGACGACCCTAGAGTGTGCACGACTGATATGCAAAACCTCTTGGGTGCACAAAACCATGTTATTCTTGTTTCTACTGCAGCTCGAAGAGGTCTATAAGGTGTTTGTCTACTGTACAAAATTTTTTGTGGCGTTTGAGATCTGCTTGTGGTAACCTTCTGGCAACCTTCAATTTTGTTGAGCAACCTTTCTTTTTGGTTGACCTAGCCTTTGGTTGCCCTGGGATGCCATGCTGATTGCTCTTCTTACTGTTGAAAAGTTTTTTTAATCATCTACTGCCTTTGCTTGTTTTTAGACAACTGAGCTAATTGGGCTCGCTATTGGGAAGTAGTAATATTTGATTGTTTTCTATCAACAAATTTGATCGTTGCTGGGCAAACGGTTTTTGGGGTGTGGCTGTTGCACAAAATTTTCTGTGGTGTTTGCGACCTTGTTGTGGTAACTTTTCGGCGACCTCCGAACTGTTGGGCAGCGCTTCTTCTTGGTTGACCCAGCGATTCATTGCCCTAGGTTTCTACGCTGACACTTCTTACTGTTGAATCGACAAGTCTTTTTGTTTGTATACTGGCTTGTTATTGGGTAATAGTAGTATTTAGCGAATTGAGCTTGCTATTCGAATGAGGTTGTTTTGGGCTTTATTTAGATTTGGTTATTTTTTTCTTCTCAATCTCATTTTTTTTTCAATAATTTATATAAAAGATTGACCGAAACAATTGGCATCTCTCCATCCTTTGCTTCTCACGTATCTCGAGTATTCTCCCATGGAGGTAATTCTAAATAAGCTTTTATTTTTGCTGTCGCTAATGCTTGGGTTATTGATTCAGGGGCCAATATCCATATGACTAGTAACTCTTCCTACTTGGGTCACTCATATGCTCATCTTTTACGTGTGCTCATGTTGGTCCTATGCCAATTTTAGGGGCATGGAACGTCTCTCCCACTCTCTATGACTTCTGTTTTATATGCACCAACACTCTAATAACTTTCTAGAGATGAGCAAAATCATCAAGCATCTTAATCTTTGTGTGATTTATTCTGCCATTATGTGTTTTAGGGCTATGTAATGAAGATGATGATGGCAGTTGTAGATAAAGGGGAGGTCTTTACTACTTAAGAGGGGGCAAGTGAGTTGCAGTTACAATATAGCAGGGGTTTCCAAGTGGTGAGAGAAACATCCGCTAGGGAGAAAATTCTTCCATGGCATTACCGTTTAGGCCATTGTGCCTTTTATGGATGACTGCACTAGGATGAGTTGGGTTTATTTGTTAGAAAGAAGGTTATAAATCAAGAATTTGTGAATCAATCTCTAAACAAATCTTCGCATATGGCATACTTCAACAGCCAATGTGATGTAGCATAGCTTGATAACTTAGAACCTGTGAGGGTTGAAGAAACCAGCAGAAGAAGAAGCAGAATACATATAGTAAGAAAAGAGAAGAGGAGGAGGAGAGAAGGAGAAGGAGAAGGGGAAGAAGAGGGGCGGTGGAAAAGCCTGTGGCTTTCAATTCATATTCATTTCCATCAAATCTCCTCTGCATGCAACAGGCTGCATGCCTCTATATAATATACAAACAAAAGATTGGGCTTGGGCCAGCCCAAAACACTATACAAGCCCAAAGAAAAATAAAAAGGCCCAAAACATAATATAAACCCAAATAAAATACTAAACTAAATAGTCTAAAATATATGTCCTCATCACAATGTGTTCCTACACACCACAACAGAATGGTATAGTAGAGCGTAAGAACTCGCATATCGTAGAATTGGCCAGTATAACCTTATGCTTTACTATGTGTGTTCCTAAATATTTTTGGGCTGAGCTGTCATTACCGCAGTACAGCTATCTTTCTTATAGATCCTATCATTGACTATCTAACTAACCCCTTTAAAGGTGTCATGATTTTACACCAATTCCTTTGCCTGAAATCTTAGTTCTAAAGCATTTGGCTCTTTGTGTTATATTCTTGTGCAATCTCAACTTAAGATAAGCTTGATCCTGATGCTCTTACATGTTTTTCTTGGATATTCTTACTCCCAAAAAAACTATAAGTCCATTTTCCTACAGGTCAATTTTGCATGTCTGTAGTTGTTTAGTTTACTGGAGTCCTACTCTGAGGTTGTTTAGTTGGTTCCTTTTTAGGGGAGATAAAAGTAGTAAACAAGAGGAATGGGTGTGTTTGGGAAAGAAGAGATGGTGGATTTCAGGTAAAGGTAAGAGTCCGTAGATGAACCGTTCACTCCACAAGATGAAACTGATGTTTGGAGTCAAAGATCACCTAGGTTGTTTAAAAAAAGTTATACAAGGAGAAAATTCTATTGTGGAACCATTGCCATACTGAAACAATTCCAACCTTTCCCTTGATAATAATACTGTTCCATTTAATGACTCTTCGAAAATAATCATGAGTTACATGTTCCCCCCTTTTTCTTAACACTATCTTCTGATTCTAACCCTGGAACTTCAGAAACTACCACTTTGAATCGATTAGCTGGCAGTCAAGGTTGAAGATTCCCTCTTTGCAATTGGAAAGAACTCGATTGGTTGGGTTTCTCAAAATCTCTTATTAAGACTTACCTGACATCTGCCTTTCACTTGTATTATGTGCTTATTCCTAGTCATTTTTAGGGAGCCCTTAAAGATGGAAAGTGGAAGTCTATTATAGTAGAACCAAAGGTTGCAGGTGGACTTATGGGTTGATTATTAAAAAGCTTTGCTTTGGTGGCCAATATTAACATTTTTAGTCATACTATTGGTAACTGTTAATCTAGACCGGCCATTAAGATGATTTGATGTTAATAATGCTTTCTTTCATGATGATTCGATAGCTTTCTTTCATGATGATTCGATAGACAACACCTCCAGGAGGTAACGTAGATATGCTGGAGAACCCCTGTACGGTTGCAAGTAGTCACTAAGGGCTTGGTTTGGGATACTGAGCTGCTTAATGAAAGAGTACAAATTTAAGCAGGCTCTGGAGATGGTGATGATATCACGCAGATTATTGGATATGTTGACTACATGATTGTTACAGTAGTAACTCCAGTGAGATAAGAGACGTTGCGAATTTGAAATAAAGGATCTGGGGACTCTAAAACACTACTTAGGCATTGAAATATCTCATTCCAAGCAAGGGTTTCTTCTCCCAACAAAAATATACACTAAAAATCTTAACAGAAACCAAAAACTTAGCCTGAATACACTCCTATTAAGGTAAATCATGGACTTTCTATTTATCTCGATCAAACTCCAAAGAAGAAAGAGATATATAGAAGATTTGTATGGAAGTTGATGTATATTACATAGAACACCTTGTAATATGTAGTATGTTGTGAGCTAATTAATGCATTATCCGAATGATTGTTACAAGAATGTAGTAAATCGTATATTGGTAAATTTAAAACATTTTCGAGACATGGTTATCATTTTTCTAAGCATGGGCATGTAGATATTATGGGTTATACACATTCTGATTTTGTTGGGTAAAGATTTGATAGGAAGTCTACATTATGGCATGTATCATTTATTGGAGGCAATTTGAGGACTCAGAGAGTAGAAACAAAAAGTGGTATCACCCTTGAGTACTGAAGCTGAATACCTTGCTCTTCATCATGCATCTACTAAAGTTAAATGGTTGAAAATTCTTCTTAGTGAGCCTGTGATTCTCCAAAGAAACCCATGGTGCTTTTCTGTTATAACACTATAGCTATTGAGACAGCTAATAACTTGGTACAGTATGTTTGAACCATGCATGTTGAACTTAGCAGAAATTACGTCAAGGGTAACCTCGACTTCCAGAGTATATAGGTCCTATACGTTAAGAGTGTAGAGTTCGAAGGGATGCAGTGTAACGTAAAATTTAAAAAAGGTTGGGTTGGCGCCAATTGCTCATATGTCAACTGGCTGATATAATGACCCATAATGTTGTTAGTGGATCATTCCATAAATCGCTATCCAAGTTAGGCCTGTGTGATATCTATGTACCAACTTGAGCGGGGATTTGGAATGTATAGAATTAGAGATTGTTATGCTGCTTGTATTTCCTTGGTTAGGTAGGAAGTAATATAGTAATAGGAGATAACTTCCCTTCTACGATAAGATCAAACTTGAATTTATGTTTGATGTGTATTGAAGAAATACATTCCACCAATTAACTAATACTACAGTCATGTACCTATGATACATGCATGCATGTTCTAACCAAAAGAGGCTCACCAAGAGTAGGGAATAAATTAATTTTGCTACTTCATTGATTTATTTTGTGTTTATGAATTTTAAAGTTTGTTTATGGTTTGATACATGGTTAAATTTTGCATTTTTTTATATTTTACTTGTTCTTTTGATTTGTGGTGAGGCTTGTGCCTTGCCTCGAAAGAGAAACACCTCAATACCTTATTTTGCTTTTTTAAATGCTGCGCATATCAAGTTAGAGCGAACGTGCAAGATTTTGAGGGTTTATTTGCTGAGTGAGGTAGATGTATTTGCTGAACTTAGGGTTTTGGACAGTGAAAAGAATACATTTTAATAATTTTAAAGGTGAGATCTGGCTGACTCAATTTTCTTCCTCACGCAATTTTCTCCCCCCTTCATGCAAATTATCGATTGTCCATTTGGCATTGTGAAATGATATGACAATTTAGAAATTGGATATTGAATAGGAAGAATAACCAAAGAATTGTGAACATTGTAGGACGTGAAATGGGGAGCAAAAAAGAAATAAAAAATGATGTTGAAGGACATCCATCAGGGTCTCGACCTGAATCTGTGCCAGAACAGTTGTCACCACCTATCCCGCCACCACAGTTGCTGCCATCATCAGCACCACCTGCTGGTAAGTCCTTTCACCTACATCTTAACTGCACCTTAAGATGACCGACCATTATGACTGCATATTGGGTAGAATATTTCCTTGAATATAGATATCGTAAATTTATTCATGTTTCTTTTTGAAAATTCTCCCCGAGTGTAGCAGTGTGCTAAATATATATGGTAAATTTATGCATTGTTCACCTTAAACTAACATTCTCACAAGAGTTCATTTCGTGAATACGTAATGTGTTTATGATAATTGATCTCAGATACTTCTTCTTGTAACTTCTGTTTTGTTCTTAATGGTGTTCTTCTATTTATAGTATGCTCAAGAGTTACCAGTAGAAATAAATCTCCCCCGATGAATGGGGGCATCTCAGATAAAGAATTGGGGGGCACAGTTGACATTAAGATTGGGGGCGAAAGACCTACATCTGTGCTTTATTCACAGCCACTACAACCTATGACTCTTCCATCACAACCACTACCACCACCTGTGATGTCATTACCTTCTGGTCAGTCTACAGGTAATTGATCTTCCTTGTTTTAATGTTGGCTTATCTACTATGCAAATAATGCCTACACACCTCATTGAATTGGTGATACTAAACTGTCTTTCCTCCATCTCATACTCTACTTTTAATTCCATAAAGTAAACTTTCGCACATCATTTCCTCTTATGTTGTTCTTTTGGCACATTTCAAATTAATGTCGACTTTTATTATCTGACTTTTTTATTAATCTTTCCTAAATTGTGTCGTCGTAATAATCTCACTTTTTCTTTAGTTAGAGACACGGTAATCCCACGTATCACTCCATGACACACATATAGAAATGAAAATGGAAAAGCACACAAGAAGTACAACCTCTCTACTCCAAATTTAAATAGCTGTTGGTGTTCAATTTGTACTCTGCTTTTACGGAAATCATTGTGAAATCTGCAAGCTGTGCTCAAGTTGTCCAGGGAAGATATGCAAATATGTTGTTCTCTATGAAAATTCATGATGACAATCTGGGATTGTAGTTTATGTGACAGAGAATGCAACGAACAAAGAACAAGACTTGTAGAAGGGGAAAGAGGGGAGGAAGAGGAGAAAGCAGAAAAGAAAGAGGAGGAGGAAGGAAAAATTTAGAGGGAGAAAATATTAGTTTTTTAATATAAAAGTTTAATTATCACAATGAGTAGACCCTCAAGCAAACCTAATTTGAGAAGGAAAAGAAGGAAATAAAGCCTAATTTAAGTCAAAATAGAAAATCTACAAAATAAAATGCTAATTTAGTCAATCTAGAAAATTCTAATAAACTAAAATAAGTTAATGTAAACTAAACTATCTTTATTCCTAATCTACTGATGATATTCTTATCTTCATTCCTCATCATTTCTCTCCAGCCAAGAGATTTCAACTCCAACAAGGTAGATCACTTCTCATCATAGGAGCGATTCTTCCTGAATATATTGACCATATGATGACAACTGAAAGCAAAAATCATCTTCAATAACATTGTCTGACCAAGGGGATGATCTTTCTTTTTGATCAAATATTGACAGTGAACATCAAACAATAACCTTTGGAACTTATCCACAAAAACTACAACTGAATCCACATAATGAGCGGCACAGTACACTAGCCCGGTAGACTGGCATGCAGAAACAAATAAGTGCAATACCGGTTGCTCGAATGTTCCATGATAAGGAAATAATCTATTATATTGAAAACAAAACTTCTATTCAAGTTCGATGGCTAGTCAAACAAATTAATTTCAAGTGAATTATATAAAAACCTTTTCTTAATTTGAGTTATCTTACCAAAGAAACACCTAACAAAGAAAAAAAAATCTCCATTATATGATATGTGCCTACCATGTACGTAATCATAATTAAGGAAATAATCTATTATATTGAAAACAAAACTTCTATTCAAGTTCGATGGCTAGTCAAACAAATTAATTTCAAGTGAATTATATAAAAACCTTTTCTTAATTTGAGTTATCTTACCAAAGAAAAAAAAATCTCCATTATATGATATGTGCCTACCATGTACGTAATCATAATTTCTGTTGTTTAAAATAATCAATCTTTTAAATATCATCATGGAACTATGCACAAGTGGTCGAACGGGAGATAATGTGAATTTAATCAGTAGACAACAATCAAATATGTATAGGAATTATAAATTAGCGAGCAATCATCTTTTTCTCAAACAATTAGATACATGTGGCACCAGGATAAGAGCCCTGTGAAAATGTAGAAGCCCGAGGAGTATCGTTGACTTAAGGTAATACCGGAACAAACTCAATGTTAAAGTCATGCAAATGGGTTTCAAAATATGTGGGCAGAATATACTGATATGATTTATGCAAAGGTACCTGATGCCCTTCTTGCTATAGTTCAAGAATTACATGAGCAAAGCAAGAGAGATAAGTTTTTGATGAAGTTGCGGCCTGAGTTTGAGGCAGCTCGATCTAAGTTGATGAATCGCGATCCAACTCCTTTGGATGTGTGCTTTGGGGAGTTACTTCGGGAGGAGCAACATATTGCTGCATAGGCCACTTAACAGCAAAACAAACTACCAACTAATGTAGTTGCCTATGCGGCTCAAGGGAAAGGGAAGGGTAGAGATATGCGGAAGGTCCAATGCTTTAGTTGCAAGGAATATGGACATAGAGCTGTCCACTGTGCAAAGAAGTATTGCAACTATTGCAAGAAACTAGGGCATAAAATTAAAGAATGCCCCACTCACCCTCAGAATCGTCAAACTAATGCCTATCATACTACAGTTGGTACTTCTTCTGCTAATAATTCATCAGTCCTAACTCTTGAGATGGTCCAGCAAATGATTATTTTATCCTTTTCGTCCTTGGGCTTCAAGGTAACATTTCTTTACCATCATCATCATGGCTTGTTGATTCTGGTGCATATAAATACTACAGTTGGTACTTCTTCTGCTAATAATTCATCAGTCCTAACTCTTGAGATGGTCCAGCAAATGATTATTTTATCCTTTTCGTCCTTGGGCTTCAAGGTAACATTTCTTTACCATCATCATCATGGCTTGTTGATTCTGGTGCATATAATCATATGATTGGTTTTTCTAATGCTCTTAGCAATATTTGGACATATAAGGGATCCTCATACATTCTGATTACTAATGGTAGTCAATTACCTATTTATGATGGAGACATTAATTCTTCTGTTAAAGATGTTCTCCTATCTCCTGCACTTTCCACTAGTCTTATATCTATAAAGTCGGTTGATAATGACTGTGATGTTCAATTTTCTCGTGATGGCTGTATTGTGCACTATCAGGTGTCGGGGAAGATACTCGTGAAGGGGCCTAAAGTTGGTCGATTGTTTCCTCTGCACTTTTTCATTCTACCATTTATTTCCATGGCTTATAATAAAGTTAACAATAAGGGTGAAATATGACACAAACGTTTGGGTCACCCTAATTCCGTAGTTTTATCTCATTTAATAAACTTTGGATTGATGGGCAATAAAGATCAATTTTCATCTCTTATTTCTCTTGATTATTCCACATGCAAATTAGGTAAGGGCAAGTCTCTTTCGCTTTCTTCTCATGATAGTCGTGCTGAAAGAAGTTTTGATTTGATTCACAATGATGTATGGGGTATGTCTCCGGTCATCTCTTACCCATTATAAATACTTTGTTACATTCATTGATGATTATAGTAGGTATATCTGGATTTATTTTCTTCATTCTAAATCTGAGGTGTTCTGTCTTTCAACAATTTGTCGCTTATGTTGAAACTCAATTCTCTTCGAGTATTAAAGTGTTAAGATCTGATTTAGTAGAAGAATGTCTCTAAAGTTTCACGATTCACTTCACCAAAAGGGCATTGTCTCCCAGCATTCGTCCATACTCTAGAGCAAAATGGTGTTGCTGAATGTAAGAATCGTCATCCGTTAGATGTTCATACATTATTACTTGAATCCTCAGTTCCACCTAAATTTGGGTCGAGGCTCTATCTACGACAGTCTTTAATTGATCGATTACCTTCCAGTGTTCTCAAATTTGAAACTCCTTATTATCGCTTGCATCATCAGCATTCCAACTACCTTGACATGCATGCCTTTGATTGCGTTTGTTTTGTTTATTTTCCTTCTCATGAACGAAACAAACTTTCCGCTCAATCTGTTAGATGTGCATTTATGGGTTATAGTGTCTCTCATAAAGGCTATTTTTGTTATGATCATGCTCTAATAGATTTCGTATCTCTCGTCATGTAGTCTTCTTAAAAAATCAATACTTTTTTCCGACTCATGTTGAACCTTTACCAAAGATATATGCCCTTCCACACTTTGATGTGTTGTCTTCTTCTCCTAAACGGTTCAAGTCTGGATTCGTATATGAATGACGATGCTCTACTTTGCCCCACATGAACCTGACTTGCCATTTGAGGCTGCTCTAACACTGCCTTCCACGAATGAGTTGGATTCGGACACTAATCTTTGCAGTTCTACCAGAATTTCTCGTCCTCCTAATAGGTATTGTAACGACTCGGGTTTTTGTAACCAAGCCGTTAGCTTACGTAACTGTCCGCTTTGGGTAAGCCTTGCGCCCACTTACCCCTCACGGATTTCTATCGCGTCCCCCAGGATTCGAATTCATAATATTTCCCTTAAGTAAGACTTAAGTTGAATCTTGGTACCAATTGAGCTCTTTTTTTGTAACGATCCGGGTCTCTGTACCCAAACCATTAGCTTATGTACTGTTCGCTTTGGGTGGACCTTGCGCCCACTTACTCCTCACGGCTTTCTGTCGCGTTTGCCCAATTGGTACTAGGATTCAACTTAAGTCTTACTTAAGAGAAATGTTATGAGTTCGAATCTTGGGGGACGTGACAGAAAGCCCTCATGTCCAATTGGTACCGGGATTCAACTTAAGTCTTACTTAAGGGAAATGTTATGAGTTAGAATCTTGGGGGACGCGACAAAAAGCCGTAAGGGGTAAGTGTGCGCAAAGCCCACCCAAAGCGGACAGTACGTAAGCTAATGACTTGGGTACAGAGACCCGGGTCGTCACAATGGATTTTTTCATATTCTCTTCATGCTATTTTGTCATCCGTTCCCATACCTACCTGGTTCTTTGAGGCAGTAAAACATGAATGCTGGCGGTGAGCAATGGCAGGTGAACTTTGTGCACTCAAGGACAATGATACCTGGGATGTTCCTTGTCCTGAGAATGTTAAAGCTATTGATTGTAAGTGGGTTTTACTCGATCAAACTACGCTTTAATGGGACTTTGGATCGATATAAGGTACGGTTGGCTGCTCTTGATAACAAACAGGAGTATGGTATAGATTATGAGGAGACTTCTGCTCCGGTTGCTAAGACGACCACAGTGCTGACGGAGATATCAAAGAGGAGGTTTACATGACACTACCTCCTTGTCTGACCACCACCTCTTCTTTAGAAGTATAAGTTTAAGCGCTCATTATACGGGTGGAAACAGGCTCTATGGGTATGGTTTGACAAATTTTGATCTACCTTGCTTCACTTTTTATTTCAACAGAGCTAGTACGACTCTTCCTTGTTCCTTTGCAAGAGCTCTACTAGTATTGTTGTTTTTCTTATCTATGTTGAGGATATTGTTATTATCGAGATGGATTTTGCTTTGATTACCCGTCTACAGAAACATCTTTAGGCTTGTTTCATATGAAGGATCTTGGATCTCTTACATACTTCTTAGGGTTGGTTAGAGGAGGTTTTCATTGATTCCTCTGGTATTTTCCTAAATTAACATAAGTATACGCAAGATTTGATTAAAGCAGGTCTTCATGATTCATCTACTGTGGAAACTTCTCTAGAAGTAAATACAAAGTATCGTAGTGAGGAAGGTGATCTTTTATCCGATCTTACTGTGTTTTACCAACTGGTGGGGAGCCTGAATTATTTAACTATTACGATGCCTAATATTTCTTTCGCAGTCTAGCAGGTTAGTTAGTTCATATACACTCCATGTCATCTCCATCTAGCTGTCGTTCGTCGTATCGTTTGCTATCTTCAAAGCACATACAGTCACAGATTGTTTTTTCCTACCGGTTCTCCTCTCTGCCTTATTGCTTTTAGTGATGTAGATTGGGCAGGTTGTCCAAATACCTGATGATTTGTTATGGGTGGTTCATGTTTCTTGGGGATTATCTGATCTCTTGGAAAAGCAAGAAACAAGATCGTGTCTCTAAGTCATCTACTGAATCTAAATATCGGGCAATGTCTGCTGGTTGTTTTGAGATTATTTGACTACGTGGGATTTTAGCTGACCTTGGTTTTTCTCAATCTGTTCCTATTCTACTCCATGTTGATAATATAAGTGCTATTCAGATTGCTACTAATCTTGTTTACCATGAGCTTACTAAGCATATTGAAGTGGACTGTTATTCTATTCAAGAGGCATTGGATACTCATATCGTTACTCTTTCTCACATTTTCACTGCCCTTCCAATAGCTGACATTTTTTCAAAGAAATCCAATTGATGCTTCTTGATCGACTAGCATCAATTTCAGAGGGATGTGAGTAGGAGATATAATATAGTCTAATTATGGAATGATTTATGTAATGAGTATAATTATTGTACATTGTCTTTTCTTAGTTAGACATGATTATTGGGATGATAGGCATGATTGTTGCAGTGGCTGATATTTAGCTTTGTAATCAGAAGTGCTCACACTATTAATTGGAAGCAACTCTCGCTTGGAGAGGCATTCTAAACCAAATTCAACTGTGTTGACATTGTTTGGGATGGTAATGGTAATAGGTGTGTCGCTCACCCCTTTCATTTCGGAAATGGGCTGCTAATGTCGGCGTAAGGACTATTTATCAGAGAATTTTCTCTTTTTGGGAGGCTTGAGGATGGCTCTTAAGAAGAATTTCCATAGTTAAATGTGAATATAAGAAGGAGATGTTTTTACGCTTTTTCTTTTTAGTTGCTAAACCGATCAGTGAAGGGAAAAAGATGAATGCATGCTATCTTGGTTCTGACTAGGGCTTATAGGCTACAAGAGTTGCTATATGAATTGTGCATGGTGCTGAGTGAAGCGTCGAGGCAAATGTAAGTTATTTTAAATATTTGCAAATTATCACTTAGAACGTGCATAAAATAGAGCAAAAACTCCAAAAGGTCAGTCAAAGTGATTTAATATTTTTTAAGATTAAATCGAACAATTATTTTTATTTTTATTTTTTGTTGGGGAAAAAACATTTTCCGTTTATAAGTCAGGCAAGCCAGACACTTACAATAAAAGTAATGTAAAATCATAACAAAAGAGATATACCTTTTTCATACCAAATCAACGCATGATTCAATAAACAAGAATGAGAGTCAAAAAGAAAGGGAGAGAGACAAGAAAGGGGAAAAAATCAAAAGAGAACATAGACGGAGAAAAAATGAGTTTATTCAATAAGCACATAGTGTCCGATCAGTATTTAAGCCACACAACTGCACTTGACCACATGTGACTCTCAAGAGTGATGCTAATTGATTGATAGTGAAGGCTTGTGAGAGCAAATGGTTAGCAGATCGTGAAGCTACTGCGTTGGTGATGGTGTAATCTGAATGTGCGTGAGTGGATGTAGATGAGTAGGCAGGTGGGGAAAAATAATAGAGGTTTGTGAGTGGTGGTGCACGGGGGTAAAATGGTTGCAGGTGGAGATTAAGGTTTGGTGGGGTGTTTTTGCTATGGGTGGATGAAGGTGGGTTGGGTTGTTGGGCTTGATTTCTGTAGTTTGGACTTGGCCAAATGGGTCGGGGGTTATCGTTGTTGGTTTTGTAGTGGATCAGGGTTAATGAGCCTGACTAAATTGGGCTAATTTAGCTGATGGTTATGATCTATCATTGTGGGTAAATGATTTGGGCTCCAAGTTTGGTGCTTGGGTGGGTTCGGTGGGTGATTGAACGCCACAAATGGGCTTTTGCAAAGCCTGCGATTGGATTCTCCAAGTTGGATGATCAGAATTAATACAAACACTGTGAAGGAAAAAATACTTTCTGATTTGCAGTGAATTTTGTACTATGTAATTAATCAGCAACAATTTCCCTGGTGACTGAAAATTTTCTTGCATATTATTTGATGTGATCTCTCGAAATTGAATATCGATCAAAACTTTTCAAAATTATTTAGTCAAAGGAAAATGCCGAAACTCTTATGCCAAATTGATGTAGATCGCAACGAACAAATACCGAGACTTGTACAAGAAGGGGAAAGTAGGGAAGAAGAGAACAGAAAGGAGAGGAGAAAGAGGAAGAGGAGGAGGAGGAGGAGGAGAAGAGAATAGATAAATTCTAGAAAGGGAAAATATCAGTTTCAATATTGAAGATTGAATATGACAATGAATAGACCCTCTTTATATGGAGTCTAAGCAAACCTAATTTAAGAAGGATACAAAGGAAATAAAACCTAATTTAAGTCAAACTAGGAAATTTATAAAACAAAACCCTAGCTTTAGTCAAACTAGAAAACTATAACAAACTAAAATAGGCCTAATGTAAATTAAACTATCTTTAATTCTAATCTACTAACCCCATCGTTATTTTTTCTATTTCTGTTTGACGCATTTCGTATTTGTGAGTATAAAAAAGTTTGTAATATGCTAAACATGTCATCTTATGTAATTTCCTGATTCTATTGGAGGCATGAACAACAAACAGAAAAGTTATTCTTACTCATAATTTAAATTAATTTGTAGCAGAGCTGATGTAACTAGTAATCCAATTTAATTCAAGACAACAGTGAGATGCTGCCTCCTATAAATATATGTATCTAATGTTGTTACCTGTTGCTACTGCACCTAGTTTTCCTCTATTTTATTCTTTCACATTTGGAATATTTGAAATCGATAGTTGGCTATGACTCTGGAAATCTGGCTCTGGATTCATTACTTGTACTTACATAGCCTCTATGTTATGCTGATGCAGAAAAGGCTCAATTAGTTTGTGGAACTTGCCGGAAATTGCTTTTGTACCCGCGAGGAGCAAAATGGGTCCAATGTCCTGGTTGCCAGGAAGTCAATCTCGTCCTAGAAGGTTTTCTGTCTCCTATTACTTATATGTTTGTTTTTAAGTCAAATATTCGTCAATCTGTTATGAAGTTAATTCCTTCAGTGGAACATTCTTTTGAAATCTATAATTTGCATTGATTCCAAGGTCTTTATTTATTAACATGTAAGCTCAATCACATATTTACTCCCTCCTCCTCCTCAAGAGAATGTCCAATGTTACTTGTGTATCTTAATTTCCAGTAGTGATGACTACTCAAATCTTGTTTCTTTAATCTTTGGTGACTTTGTCATACTAATGGTCAGCCTAATTGGAGCTCTAGTACATTTGTCTCATTGGACTTGTGGTTTTTTGGATTGGGCATCATTATTTTTTTTTTTCTGAATTGATGTCCACAACTATAACATTGTTTGGGGGGGACTAGCTGACCTAATTCATCTGTGTGTATAGTACATAGTGCCAAAATTGATTTTGCTGAATGAATCTTTGGCATGTATTTCATTCAATTTATAGAATATACAAGGAAAGTAAATTTCTGTGCAATCAAATTAAATCCCTAATTCTAATCAAGTTATATATGGTAATGGCATCACGACATCCTCTAATACCCCCCTCTCAAATTGGTGTTGGGGAATCCACAAGCATCAATTTGCGAACAAGAGAATCATGACGAAGATGAGTCATGATTTGGTAAAGATATCTGCAACCTGTTGGGTAGTTGAGATATGGGGAAGAGTGATTATCTTAGAATCATATGCATCCTGAATGTAATGGCAGTCCACCTCAATATGTTTGGTGCGTTAATGGTACACAGGATTGACTGCAATCTGAATGGCACTAGTGTTGTCACCATGAAGCGAGGTAGGCTTTGTTTGTGAAATACCAAGCTCTGTTAGAAGATCATGCAACCATACAATCTCAGAACACACAGCTGACTTAGCACGATATTCAGCCTCAGTGGAGGACTTAGAAACACTATCCCGTTTCATACATTTCCTAGAAATGAGAGCATCACCTAGAAAGATACACCACCCAGTGGTTGATTGACAAGAGTCAGGGCAACCTGCCCAATCAACATCACTATAAGCCGTGAGCTCAAGAGACGTTCCCTCAGGGAAGGACGGACCAAGGTGAGGGGTCCCAATAAGGTATCGGATAATATGGCAGATAGCTACCGAATGAAGATAATGAGGGGTATCTATGAATTTGTTGACAGTATGAACTGCGAATGAAATATCTGGACGAGTTATAGTAAGATAGATGAGACTATCTACTAACCTCCATCAGAGGGTAGGATCTGTAAGGATATTACCTTCGCCTTTTCAATATATAACATTAAGTTCCAGTGGAGTATCAACTAAGGAGGCTTAAGATAAATCAGCCAATCGAATTAAATCTTGAATGTACTTATGTTGATTTAAGAATATACCAAGAAATTGAGATGACCAAGATCCTCCATGTGAAAAATTGAATGAAGATGTTGCTGAAGTTTATAAGGATGTGATAAGATCCAGAAATAATAATATCATCCACATATACCAATAGAAAAACAATGCTAGCAGTACTCTTGTGAAGAAACAAGGATGCGTTATATTGACTCTGAGTAAATAAAAAATCCATAAGAGTGCGGCGAAACTTGTCAAACCATGCGCGAGGAGCCTGTTTAAGACCATAAAAAGATCATTTTAACTTACAAACAAATTAGCTAAGGGAAGAGGCATACTAGATGGAAGTTTCATGTAAATGTCTTCCTCGAGGTCTCCATGTAAGAATGCGTTCTTTACATCCATTTGATGTAAAGACCAAGATTGAGAAGCGGCAAGCTATAACAAAAGATGGATAGTTGTCATTTTAGAGACTGGAGCAAAAGTTTCATTATAGTCTATTCCATACTCTTGACGATTACCCCATGCAACCAGTCGAGCTTTATACCGCTCAAGAAAATCATCAGAATGAAGTTTGATAGAATGTACCCATTTACTCTCAATAGGCTTTACATTCTGTGGACATGGTACAACATCCCATGTTTGGTTGGACTCAAGAGCCTCAAGTTTTGCATTCATCGTCTATTTCCAAATGTTTTATAGCCTGTCTATAGGAGGAAGGAATGGAAATCGAGTTAAGAGTAGTAGATATAGAACTATAGGAGGAAAAGCCATACCTATCTGGTGGTCAAGGGACACGAGAGGTGCGACAAAGACTGACAGGAGGTGGGAGATTACCCGGTTAAGTATCTAATGTCGTAGGTGGAGAATCATCTGGTGAAGGATCTGATGTCGTAGGTGGAGGATCAGAGATGTGGGGGACAGTCGTCTGAGAAGTGTGGGATTAGTAGACTGTACATCATGCCTGCGAGTGTAAACAAGACCGAGCTTATATTGAGAGAATTCTATAGGAAAAGTAGGTAGGACAGAAAACTTAGGCGGGGAAGTAATAGTTTCTGAAGTGAAGAAATATTGTTTTTCAAAGAAAACAACATTGCGAGAAATCCTAATTCGTTGTGTCTCAGGATCATAACAAACATACCCTTTTTGAGTCCCACCATATCCAAAAAAAGCACACTTGACCGATTGAGGAGTGAGTTTTGTCCTTTCTTCTGGTTGTAAACGAATGCAACACACACAGCCAAAAGGACGCAGATAAGAGTTAGAGGGATGATGACCAAAGAGCTTATAAAACAGAGACATTATTAAGAGTAGGAGAAGGTAACTGATTTATGAGATGTACAGCGGTAGACAAAGTTTCACACCAAAATCGAGAGGGACAGAAGATTCAATCAGAAGAGCTCGAACCATATTAAGCAGATGGCAATTCTTGCATTCTGCCACCCTGTTTTGTTGAAGAGTAGAAGGACAAGATTGCTGAGAAATAATGCCTTTAGTTTGTAAGAAAGCTTGAAATGCGTTAGACATATATTCACCCCTGGAATCAGACCTTAAGATTTTGACGGAGGAGGAGAATTGGTTGTTAGCCAATAAATTTATCACAACCCAATTAATTTAAATTTGTCCAATTAAATATCCACTTAAATTAGAGGTCCAAGCCCTGGCCCAAATCTACCAGTATCCAATTAAAGACAATATAGTTCAATTGCCCAAGCCCACAAGTATTTAATAAAACCAATAATTTTACTAAGGCCCAACATATTGGCCAAAGGCAAGAAAATCACTCACAGAGGCGACGAAGACGACAATTTGCTCTGACCACAGAAACCACAGTTCGATTCTCTGAGAAATCAAAGAACACATTGACCTTAAGAACACACTGGATCACGACCACGTAGATGTAACACACTGAGAAGATGACCACTGGAACGCAGAGAGAAGCTAACGCGAAGACGCCGACTATGAAGAAACCAAGTGATGATAAAGACGCAGACTATGAAGAAACCAATTGATGGTGACTGCCGACGGAAATGCAAGAGGCGATGATCGTGATTCTACTATAAAGAACTAAGAGCTGATTGCTAGCGACACGCACGAGAAATATTAGGGCTCTGATACCATGCTAAAACCGATTTTGCTGAATAAATCTTTGGTATGTATTCCATTCAATTTATAGAATATACAAGGAACATACAAGGAAAGTAAATTTCTGTACAATCAAAATAAATCCCTAATTCTAATCAAGTTATACATGGTAACGACATCACGACATCCTCTAATACATAGGCTGCTTGTATTGAAGTTTATGGCAAATTGAAGTTTTGAGTATCTGAGACATGTTGTGCTCTTAACATCTGATATTTTATTATTACTAGTTTTCCGCCTATGCAATGCACGGGCTATGTCATTTTTTTAGGTAATATTAAATTATTAACATGTCAAAATATCTGTTCAGTTCTCTCAATAAATCTACAAATTTGATTAATTATTTAAAATGATAAACAGAAATGTAATCTTCATATATAACACACTTTTGACATTAAAAAAATTTAAAAGTTTATTAGGAAGCTTTCTAAATGACGTAAAAAATTTTATTAGATTATTTAAAAATTTAATTGATCGAGAGGAAAAATTACCAATAAGAAAAAAATTTCTAAAAATGATCGAATTTCTTTTATATATAAAAAGTTTTCAGATGTTAAAGCCCCCGTTTGAGCCTCATTATTTTTCATTAAATTAAATTAAAATTTTCTCTTTCCTACTTATAACCACACAATCTTCAATAAAATAATATTACACGTAAATCAAAAATTTTCAACCATTCATTTTTCAAAAAAAACACTATTTATCTCATAATTTACAAATAATGGGGCTCAAACGGCCCCAAAATATTAAGATGAAAAATTAGTTGGCATCAATTTTGTGTTGCTATAATTGAAATGTATTTTCTGGGGATAGGATAAATGTTTCCTTGATGCATAGATTAAAAACCACAATTATTGGAGCTCATAAATCAAACATTATTTTAATTTGAGTGGTTATTTTACATATAAAGGACTTATTTGATGATAACTATTCAATATAATTAAATCGTGTAATTAGTCGAATCTTTTTTTTATTGTTCAATATCCAATCGATTTAATGAATTTTTTTTTATTTATGTATAATATTATTTTATAGAAGATTCTGCGATTGAAAATAAAAGAGAGAAAAATGAGAAAAAATTAATGGAGTCAAACACAAGCTGAGCCACAATATAATGTTTTGTCACTTAAATGGGGTTGAGATTTTTATTTAATCACCCAATTTTGATATATATGAATTTAATCCTCCAAAATTTATATACATCTAAAATATTCAGTATCGTCAAATAAATTAATCGATATTTTTTTGATTGAGTATTTTTTTTTTCAATATTGTGTTAAGTTTTACTTTGATTTATCACAACTACTTTTAGGAAATAAACAATATACATGATTTAATATACTCCGTGTCATATTAAATAAGGGTAAAATAGATTTGTATAAAAAATATATCAATCACCAAGGAAAAAAGAAAATTATATTGATAAAATTGTCACAAAAAAATAATAAACATTAATAAAATAATTGATTTTTTAAAAGAAAAAAGAACGAGCTATACGCATTTTTTTATACATGCTTGATGTAGGTTTAATTATTTTCGATATTCATTTAAATCATTCGATGTATCTATTATATAGTTATCGAAATAAACTTCGAAAGAATATAGAATATTTATAAAGATTTATAATAGATTTAAAAAAAAATAAATAAATAAATCACCTAATAAAAAATAAAAATAAAATAAATTTTGACACTGAACGTCATCTATATATATAAAAAAAAAGTTGCCTAATGGATATGCTCCGTGATGCACGGAGCAATTTCTCCTGGATGCCATGAGCAAAATTGCTCCGCGCATCACGGAGCATTTGCTTCGTGATGCGTGGAGTTGCTCTATTGTTTTTTTTTTTTTGGTTAAATTTTTTTTTCACTAAGTGATTTATTTATTTATTTTTATAAAAATCTACCATAAATCTTCTATATTCTCTCGAAACTCATTTCGAGAACTATATCATAAACATATCGAATGATCTAAATGAATATTGAAAATAGTTAAACGTACATCAAATGTGTGTTAAAAATGCGTATAACTAGTTTTTTCCTTAAAAAAATTAATTATTTAATTATATTTATTATTTTTTCGTAACAATAATTTTTGACGTCATTTAGAAAATTTCCTAATAAACTTTTAAATTTTTTTAATGTTAAAATAGACATCATTTAAAAAATTAAGAATTTTGATAACATGCTAATTTTATAAATTCATTGACGATTGTACGGTAGTCGAATGCATATATCTTCTATATTATCTCGAAACTCATTTTGAGAACTATGTCATAGAAGCATTGAATGATCTAAATGAATATCGAAAATAGTTAAACGTACATCAAACGTATGTTTTAAAAAATACGTATAACTCGTTTTTCTTCTTTAAAAAAAATTAATTATTTATTAATATTTATTATTTTTTCGTGACAATTTTTATAATAAAAATATTATATGATATAAAACACAAGATCAATTATCCAAGGGAAAAAAAATGCTTTACCCGGTTAGGAGTGAATGACTTATCGGTATGCATGTAAGGGTCAAATGGGCAATAATGAGATGCTTTCTGAACGAATAGTAACTGGCATGATAAAAAAATTCCTACAATTCGTTGCCATAATTTGTCTCACTCTCTCATGATGCACGAGAAGAATTTTTTTTTTTGGAAGGGACAGCTATAGTAACTCACTTGTGTAAGTCAACAATGGAGGCAATAAAGTGGTCTCATTAATTTCATTTCTGGAAGCTACAGCATCTAACGAAGTGAAATGATATTTTTTAATTGAAGCTACAGTAACCGTTAGCAAATGGTTCTATAAAGTCAATAAAGACAGCAATAATGCTGCCATATTTCATTATTATTTCCAGAAAACTTTTTTTTTTGGTGATGAATAGTGCATAACGAGTTCAACTACAGTATAAAACCAGTTAAGTGTGAAACCGCTACCTTAGGTTGAATAGTAAATGTTGGATCCTCTCTTTTGAAGTAAAGGGGATCTTCTTGCATGTCTTTGTAATTGAGGGCCACCAAATTTTCCATGCCATGACGTGCTAAAATGCTTCACTTTTACGCGAGCGATAGAAAAAAATAAACAGAAGAACAGAAGACTTCCTTAAAAATTTTTGGATTCGTGCATTAAATCTCAGGTTGATGTGTCTGAATTGCTAACTAGGGTCTTGTGATGGCTTGGTCTCATGTGATTTAGGATTTCATCTTTGTTTTTGCAGCCTATCAAATTGGACAAGTTAATTGTGGGGGTTGTGCAGTTTTACTTATGTACCAACATGGAGCACCAGCGGTTCAATGTTCTTCTTGCCATTTCGTGACACAAATTGGAGTCAGTGTCTCTTCTTTCCTAAAGATGCATGATAATGCTCTCCTAATACAATTTCAACTCACCAAAATCGTCACTATGGTTCCTAAAGATGCATGATAATGCACTCTTAATGCAATTGGAACTCACCAAAATCATCATTATGGAAATTAACTCATGCATGGATGCCGGAGATATGTATATGACTCTCTTCGAATGTAGTTTCACTAAGAATATTAGATGAATGTTCACATTTAAAATTTATTTAGTGCTTGTTGGGTAGGGATTTTTTTAATTGATTTTTTGACCGTTAGAGATAAAGTGGGTCCTGCTTGTGAGAGAAGAATTCAAAAATAACGGCTGGAATAGTGAAATAACGGTAAAAAAATTGATGTTAATTGGATTATAATCTCTACCAAACATGCTCTTAATGTAATTTTACTATGAATAAACATTTAGATGAACATTCACATTTAATCTTTAATTTAATTATCTCGAGATTGTTGAATCTATCAAGACTATAACATTACTCATAAAGTAAATATTGTGTATTGCTCACATAATTTGATCTATTACCTGGACCATTTTGACGTGCTACTAAATTTATGTCAAGATTTATTGACAAATTTGGAGAGAGAAGATTTTACTTTCTCAATGGCATCCGTAATCTAAAGGGAGTCTAAGGTAAATGAGAAAGAAATGAAAGATAATCATAGCTCAGAAATTATTTAAGTTGTAAAATGGATACTAAGATAAACTTGACCATCTCTTCAAAATTGAAGTGAAAGAAACTTTATTATTGTAAAGGGGCAAATCTAATCGTGATTATATCATTTTAACATGTAGGCACACAACAGGCGACCCCCCCTTTCTGTTCAGCAGGCTCAGAGACGGCGTCGTGCCAACAGAGGTCGTTAGACTGCTCATATCTTTTTTGATTTATAACCAGAGAATCTAATCTGAAACCTGTCTGCCGAATGTTTTTTCATTGCTGTTTCAGGAAATTGAAAGTTTGCCCACCTTACAGCCTAAGATTTTTATATATTGTGATTTTTATGAACTCTAATTTGAATATGATGAAGTCTGTGTGCTTTAAGTTGATGCCAAATCTTCTTCACTGAAGTAAAAATCATCCCCAGTTGAATTAATGGGGAGCATCCTTCTTGTATGTGTATCCAATTTGAAATCCAAATCATTTTCACATGAAAGTGATCTATTGGTGATGACTGTTCAAGCACACATTTTAGCTTTGCCTTTCCAACATGCATATGAATCTGCACTATTTCTACCTGCTTACACCTGACTACTATAGCATTCTTATTTATTCCTTTCAAATTCTGATCACCATCATGATTTAGCCAAGCACCTGGAGTGCCATAGCTACGTTTTCATTTTACTATAATCTTTTATTGTAATCATCTATCACCTTGCCCTAGTTTAGTGTTAAGAGCGCAAGCAGACTATAAAATAGTTATGCAGTGCCATTTGGATGCTTAATATTTTTCCACTGCATAGAATGCGTGATGACTTTCTACAAAATGCACCATCTTTAGCCTTGAAGACTCACTGCCGATGATCAGTTTTGCACATTTTGTTTATCTTGATACACTTCATCATTCAATTCCATAGCTTACATTGAAAAGTTGTAGAGAAGTTATATAGTCTAAAAAATGTTCTTTGATTTAACAAATGTTAATTTCTTTGGGACAGTTGAACACAATATTTAGACTCACCAGCCACCAAATGTGAACCTTAGCTCAGATTTAATGGTTTACATTCGATTCCTAAAAAAGGACAGAACGGGGAATACACTGGAGCAATATAATGAAATGATGACATTATGGTTTTTGCATCTTTCTTTCTGATCACTAGGTGATTGTAGCTTTCTCTACTTTTAGAAAAAGACGTATCATTGCAAAAATGTATAATTAGAAGTAAAAGGTAAATAGGAAAGAATCCATAGACTGTATGGAGAATTATCCATTGTCAATTGTTACTTAACTCTGTAAAAAGATGATGATTGAGGCCCAACAGCCCAAACCGGTGAACGGAAGTACATTTAGAGCATCTACAAGAGATTATCTATTTTGAAGAGCACATTTTGCAATTTAAAGAGCATCTATAAATTTAGAGAGTAAAAACTTCTAAATACTTTAATAATCTCTTTATCTTTAACACTTAATTTTTACTACTCCAAATATGTAATTATTATTTTTCCCTGTCTTATATTTTCACTAGCTTCCCTCCAAATTATAATATGATTTTCCCTCCATTTTTGTATTACTATTTAATTGGATTAATATATGGAGCATTGAAAATTGGAATATTTTGAATGCATTTAATTGTAATATAAATTTTAGCCTTATATGTTAGCCCATGACATATTTCTCCTTCCATCTATGAGTCGATGTTTTCGTCTTTTCCAGCTTGTCTTGCGATGATGTTCTTAGAAGGAGAAGCTAGGACTTCAAGCATCTCAAGCTTCCAAACACTCTGCCAATTACCACCATCTCTAATCTGATTAGAAGCGACCGTAATTCCTCCGGCGCTGGCCTTCCTTGTTTCTTTCGACTCTTTTCCTTTGTCTTGTGCTGTTGATCCATCAAGAGTCCCTAGTGGACACTAGGAGGTAGCCCCCTTCCATAAAATTTCTGAATATATCTTCATTGAGTACCCTGGTTCATTGTTGCCTTACGGAAAATCAAGGCAACCATATTTTTCTGGGTTTCTTCTATGGACAGCAGCAACTTTTCCATGCTCTGTATGAGGTGCTCCACAGACCTTTCCAATTTTGGTAAGCATTGCATCTCAGATTTCAATCGCTTCATCTCCGTCTCCATAGCTTCCACTCTGATTTCTATCTTCTTTTGGGCCATCAAAATTGCTCGCTCTGGTACCAATTTGTTAAGACTCAACTGGAAGAAAAGGAAACTGGAACAATTATTATAGAACTTGGTATTGATGTGCATGGAATTACGGAACAGAAACAAGAGAAATTAACTGGACTCTTTTACGACTAAATTAATGCCTCTCTCTAGACTCTCCTTCTACCTCTATTTATAGCCTCTTAGCTAAATCTGCCTAACTACTTTCCCTAGCAACAGAATATGGGGATTGGGGGCTTATCACATTTCACTTTTAAAAGGTCTCTTGGAGATGCTCTTACATAGGGATAATGAGAAGCAATGGTCAATAAGAGGAGGGAAAGAAGAGGAGGATGACATTAGGCCACCAACATGGTTCAGTGCATCGCTCCATGACCACATCTACCACTTCCTCTTGGAGAGACGAGTTACTATGCAAACATTTGCTTTGACTTCTATCTCCCCTTACCTTCTAAGAATTGCATTAGACGTTTCCTCGACATGATTAAGTTATCCCATTATTTTAAGGATCCGTTGTTCTAATTAAAATTGTATGCGAAGACAAGGATTATTTCAAATTGAAGTCAAAAACATATTTGTTTTTGAACTTTACATGTGATTAAATGCAAAAGTGCTCCCAGGATGGAAGCGAGTAGTTAAATTTACAAGGTGGATAAAAGCCTGTATGAACCTATTTACTGATTTGCTTGTGTTCTTTTGTTACATAGTAGCAAAGACAATTAAATTGTTATTTAGTCATAGACTCTTGTCTTGGTAGCTCATAGAAAAAATCTGGATTCTTCACAATAGTAATTGAAAGTATCACTCTAGATTCTGTTACACTCGTGTATGAAGTGTTTGATGGTTTGTCTCAATTGGGTAATGGGCTTTGTTTAATTTTTTTGGAAGATATTGACATTAACTTCGGGTATGCAATTATGACAATTCACTTGTCATAGGAGAGAAAAATTGATGAATTAGTTGCAAGTGGGAACACGAGGAGTAATGCATATTGTTTACATAAGAGCAATGCATAGTTGTTCCAACAATTATATAAGAAAATTGCAGTGTTTGCATATTTGCGATATGTAGTTGTAAATGACATTGGCTTATGATATGACTTGATGTTGGAACACTGCAGAATTTCAATATGGTGATATGGTGTCAATTACTCCATGTTAGGCATGATGATTCTTGAATGGGTGTCGGAATCATTAATTTTTACCTCTTCCTTGAATGTTTAAAAAGATGGAACTAGGTTGTGAAGTGAGGCCTAAGCCTCTCTGCAAACCAAAAAAAAATAAATCAAATAATGTACAATAATATAAAATAAAGGTATAATAAGGTATAATAAACCATAAATAATCTTGAAAATTTTCTATAGAGCTAACGCCAAAATAAAGAAACCACCCATAATATAATTTTATAAAAAATAAAGATGAAATGTTGAAAAAAGGACGGGTAAAAAAAAAAAATTTAAATACCTGCTGGATTTTTTCAGAATGCCGGAGTTTGCTGCCTTGAAATCTTATTGAGTAAGCTTTGAATGTTTCGGGGATGGTGATGTGTGGGGTTGATTAGGTTAAACAAGTAAAAGAATTGATGGGCCAAATTAAAAATGGAATTATGCACACAAACAGGCTAAAAAACAGGTTACAATATGTTAACACATAATTGAACTATTTGAAAAATAAAAACTACAAACATCCAATCATCTGTTGCCAAGTCAGTTTGTTTCTTTTTTTTTTCCCTTGTCTTTGAGTCTGGACAAACATCATATTCCTTAAAATTTATGTTCAGATAAAAAAGAGAAGGATAAAAAAGGAAAAAAAGGTCATTCCTGGGAAAAACTGCGCACACACCTCACTCCCCTTGAGGTGTGCTTCTCATTCAATGAGGCATCTGCCTCGGGAATAGTGTGCTTCACGGCCCCCATTCCAATCCATGCTTCTTAGCAGAGTTCCAAATGTAACCCTAGTGCTGAAAATAACTTTTAGCACAGACATAGCACGAGGTATGCACGTGCCCCATATATCTCAAACATTACTCTTTGATTGGCTTTACTCCTTCACAGTCTACTAATAGAATTATCATTGCTTCCTGAAATGAAACTTGAAGGATGCAATGAAAAATTCCTGAAACTATTTGCTTCCATAGTTGTTTTAGTCCATGAACCTCCTATATTAAGAGGCAATTTTACCTTTACTAGATCATAAATTTATTTTGGTGGAAAACTTAAATATGTTTCCATAAAATATAAGTAAATAACTATATAATCTCTCTATCATCTTGAAATTTTAGATGACGTATTTCAATTTAATGCTCTATTTCCTTTTCCTGGTAGTTTGCACTTGTGTTGCACTTGCACTTCCAAAAGTAACTGTTTTGAATGAGTAATAGCTGTTTTGATTGTGTTGTTTACTCCACACCCCGTTGCACATTGACTTTCATGAGTAACTATTTTGTTTGAATAAGAACTGTTTAGATTGTGTTTTGATTTGCTCTTTGTACTCCAATTTTAGCTTAGTTCTTTACTTAAAATGGCAGTAGACTGCTCTCTTAATTCTTTTTAAAGAAAAAAAGACAAATTACACAGGTTCATTTTTTTTTTCTTTTTTTTTTTTTTTGTAAATTGCATGTTAAATGTAATACTTTAATTGTCTTTAATTAATTTAGCTTCAAGATTCTGTTTCAGTTTAATATTTTTCCATATTTAGTGTAGAGGAACTCAGACAAGCTTATGACTTACTTGCCATAGTACTTTTAGTTAGTAATATTTTTATGCATATCATACTGCTACGAAAACTTGAAACTTCTGAAATTGGAAAGTGAGAAATATCAGGAAGGCAATTAGCAGGAAGTTCAGTACTTTAGTTCACTGACAAAAATGGAAAGTATTATAGGTGGTGTCACTGTTAAATCATATTCCTCACAGTGTAAATCTAGTCAATCAATAAACTCTACTATAGATATTTGTGAACATTGTAGGAAGTCGAATTGGGAGGAAAAAAGAACTTATCAAATCTGATGGAGGAGCCGAAAATATAGATTTGATAAATTTATGAATGTATCTCTAAATAATAAAATTGATCTCAGAATTTTTCTATTGTACAATTTTCTGTTCCGTTCATTATGTAGTTCTAATTATGCATGTTATGCAATGAACCCATTAAGCATTAGCTAACAAAGACATAAATCTTCCCCAATAAACTGGGCATGGTAATGAAGGAAAGAAGTTTACACTAAAAATGGGGGCAATACGACTGCATCTGTGCAGCAATCTGTGCCTGCTCCATAGCCACTTCAACCTATGTTTCTTCTGTCACCACCACCTGCGGATGGCATCATCACCTTCTGGGCAGTCTACAGGTAATTGATCTTTATTCAGCTTTAATCTTGATTCATCTACTGTGCAATTAATGTGTATACATGCACTTTTTTCAACTACATCATAAATGTATTTGCTGGTTTTTTAGCATTTTGTTTAATTTTCCTATTCAATAATTATTTTTTAATTGTTAAATTTAAAAAAATCACTATAACTAGAATGGTGTCTATGTATTTCATAGTAGGTTGCAAAACTGAGCAAAGAGGAGGGTTGTGGTAGGTTAACAGTGAGCGTAACACAAAACCTTATGTCATAAATCCTAATACGCAGCAACTAGTATAGTCGATGTGCAATGCACATGCACAAATAGGTTAATTTGAAGGTGGCGCGGATGACAAGGTGCACATTTTATATGGAAATTTGTTAATACTCAGTTTTAATAATGGTAAATCAATTAAAACAATGTTGGTTATCGCTTGAAACAACTTTTTATTAAATTTGAAGATAAATGCAAATGTACACCTGATTAATTTCTTAAGATGCGTATAATTTATTTTCAAAAAGTAGAATAACACGTAATGATTTTTGGATATTCTTTATGAAGATTGTGTTTATCCTTATATTTTCTTTCGAGTTGTCATGCAGACTCTCTCTCTCTTATTCACAAAATCCTTTCAGTCTGTTCATTTGTCAACCATTCACAGTACTAGACCCGCTCTCCCTCTCTTTACACACGTGAACACAAATATAATGCTCAAAATCACAGTGAAGTACAGGTATGCACACAAATATAAAGCTACATTCTTCATCTTTATGCTTCGTGTATATATACATGTATGTATTCATCAATAGAAGAGTAATGAGATGACGCGCTTTGATGTTATTTAGTCTTAAGTCCTAGATATAACAGTTTACATTAATATAAGAGCTATCTTTCATAAGTCTTGACTATGACTGTACATCCTCGATGTCTCGATTTGATCATTAAGTATAGGATTTTGTATATTCTCCTGACTGCAAATACTATTTGCACGTCCAATTAAGTAGTTATCATGAAGTCTGTTAGCATCAATAACAGTGCATATTGTATGCATGCTCATTATTGCTTATATATCTCGATGCTATTTGATTTTTGTGGTGTGCACCTTGGGTGAGCATGGGTTGGTTTAGGCCCAAAAAATGGGCCTAACCCAACACGTTCAGTTTCATGAGAAATTGAGCAGAACCAACCCACCCACAAGTCTAAAACTCAACTCAACCCTAACTGATGAAGGTTGGGTGGGGTTGTTGAGTTGGGTTGGTTGGTTTTGGGCTTTAAACAGAATCACACAAGGAACACAATTTTTTTTTTTTTTGTCGGGGGCCTAATTCACATTTGGCCATTTTTTTTGATGAACTTGATTGGCCATTATTAAAAACTTTGATGGTCTAATTTAATATAGGGGCAATTTCAATAAAATTTGAAAAGATTGGCGCATTTGAGGTTGGATCATTTTCGCTATCTAAAACAAATTCAATCAACATATGAAAAATGCTATTGCAAACTCGATACAAATGAAAAATATTAAATTCATGCAAATTCAACCTACATAATAAAAAATTTAATAAAGTCTTTATATCATACGTATTGTTTGCTCTGGGAGAGCCTGAATCTATCTTACTCCTCAAGACATTTTGTCATGTCTTCAAGGATTTGAACCCGAGACCCCTGCCTTACGAGAGACTTTAGCTAAATCCTGTCACTAGCATTGTGCCTTGATTTAGTTTAAGTCTCTCATAAGTCAGAGGTCTTGGGTTCGAATCCTGAGGGCGTTATAGAAATTTGTGAGAAGTCAGATAGGTTTAGACTCTCACGGAGTGGAAGTACATGAGAAAACAACTTGGGTACGAGGCCTGGGTTGTTACAAAAAATGTTATACAATACGAAATAAAAAATATTAATCATCCAAATTCAATCTACATATTAATGTTATAGTCATCCAAATTGCAGATCCAATATGAATTTTTTTTTTTGAAAGGTAATCAAATATTTTATTAATCAATGCATAATACACGGGAAGTGTATTATTAATTTAAAGCAGAAAGGAAAAACATAAAATTGTGCAACCCATCTATATGCCTAGTAGCTGCAGCATTAAACCACGTATACAATGTGAAATAAAACATCTCTAATTTGCTCTACTGTCCGTGTTTGATTATCAAAGCAGCGGCTATTTCTTTCTTCCCACATACACCATACAATGTAACCCGGAATAAGGTCCCATGCAAGCTTGTAATCCTTGTCGCGAAATTTTTCCTCCATGCCTTTAACACGTCTTCCATACGCCTCGGTATCGCCTAATCCATGTGTTGTGATGCCAAAATATTGTGCCACAGTAAACGAGCGGCATCACAATGGAGAAACAAGTGATCAATCGTCTCCCCATCCCTCCGACACTTATAACACCACTTTGTAACATAAACATCTTGTTCGTAGATTATCCATCGTTAACACGTGTCCCCTGACCACCGTCCAAAGTAAGAATGCAACCCGTGGAGGCAATTTACATTTCCACACTGATTTCCAGGGGAATGAACTCTGCACAAGACCCAATAAAGATCTAAAATAAGTGCCAACTGAGAAAATCCCATCCCGTGTCAATCTCCACCTACTACAGTCTGCCTCTCCTGTCTTGATGCGAAACTTGTACAAAGAAGTCAAAAATAGCGCATAATCATCCAATTCCCAATCCTGTAATCTCTGACAAAAACAATATTCCAACTGATCCTCCCATTATGTATATCTAAGAATCACTCACCGTAGCAGACGGTGTAAACACAATACGAGATAAAGAGGGAAATTTCACCTTCAGCGGTTGTTCTCCAGACCAATAATCATCCCAAAAACTGATGGTAGTACCATTCCTCACTGCAAAAGTCAATTTTGGGAGCACACCAAGACCTCCACTACTTTAATGCTTAAAGAATTATGAAAATATCAAGGATCACAAAATTCTGAAGCAAAAATAGACACTTGTATTGCCAACATATCTCTGGCTTGTTTGGACAAGATACCATATTTATTTAAGTTAAAATTCTACCTATTAAGATTCTACTGAAGATCAAAATAATTGTTCTCTATGCTTTTACGAGTGTCTAAAAGTATGTCTACATTTGTTTATCTAAGCACTATCTTTTGCTCCATGTTTTTCCATAAACCTAGAAAGACGAGTATAACTCATAGAAGAAGAAAATTGCCTTTACGAGAATTAAAATAATTGATACTTGACTGCTTTAGAAACTCCTTCGCATCCCTTGTATCAGCTCTTATTCCTTTCCTTCATATGTTGCTTTTCTTCGCTTTTGGGAGGTTAGGTTTATGTTCCCCTTCCTCTTGTTCTTGTGAGTTTGATTTTATATATACGGTTGGAGAATCCAAATCCCCATCAGTGTTCCCTGATGGAGCTTTAAAACCCACTGAGGTTGTGTTAGTGTTTTCCTTAGAAGAAAAAAGAAGAAGCCATAATTGATCAATCACAACTTGAATTGATCCTCCAAAACAGACAAAACAAAATTAACCAATTAAACTAAATAAAATATGAAGGCCTATTTTTCAAAATTTCAAAATAAATACAAATTGTAGAAGGGTAGGTATAAAAGCTCATTTTTTGACCAATTTATCAGGAATAAGATATAATTTGCTGTCGTTTCATAGTTTTGACTCTTGTTTACTCCTTTATATTTAAGATAATTGTTCTCTGTTTATTAGAGATTTTTATTGATATGTTGAGAAATCTGGTAGGGTGCACAGTTCACTTTTTTTGCCCATGGTTTGCACGAATAACCATTTCATACAAGTAAAAGCTGCAATTGCCTTCTGCTTGATTTTGTCGCTTTTAATCAAATCTCCTGGATGTGCCTTTTAAGATGGCAGTGACTATCTTAATGCACATGGGAATTAAAGATTCTGTTGCTCCCCTTTTGACTTTTCTCCCTTAATCAGTTTAGGACCCCGCCTACCCCCATTCACAATTATGGCTTTGTTATCATTCCAGAAACATTTGAGAATCTTGTATATATAGAGGCATCAAAATGAACCTTCTGAATATTACTGCTCTTCTTTAGGCACATTATATGTGGTAATCCTGTCTTATCTGCTTTTGAAAGATCAGAAGAGTCTATGCAGTACCCTCTACGATGGTCTATGTATGGAAACACAGACAAATGCTCCTGTGCAATCAAAGAAAGAAGATAGGTAATTCATCTTCACATTTTGAAGGTTAATTCCTAAAGCAATGAAAGTAAATAAACTTTGGGAATCGATAGATGTTTTCACTCTTTTTTTTTTCCATCACGTGCTAGATACTTGTGTCTTTTCTACTGTGATAATCCATGTTTTCCGTTAGCAACTCCCCAACTGTGCCAACCCAAAAAAATAAAAAATAAAATAAATAATGGAAAAACGAAACAATAGGTACAGAATTGAACAGACTAAATGTGCAGTTGGCAGATAGTTTGATGTAATACTCAAGGAGGTGCAGATTGCATTGGAGACTTGACAAAATATGAACTTTTATAAAGTGTGAAATTCTAAAGTAGGTATAAATTTACTTTCTCTTGGTAGTTTGTAGATTTTTAAATTAGGAAAGTTTTTACTTGATATTTTGATAAATTCTAATTGTAAGTTTTTACTTGATATTTTGATAAATTCTAATTGTAGGGATTTTAGGTATGAAGATTTTCTCTGAATTTTTTGATTCCTCTCTCTTTTTCTCTCAGGGTATTGAAGAAGGAACCAAAAAACCTGTAGCAAGAACCTTGGGAACCACACGAACGTGATCATAAAATTAGATAAAAAAAAATAAATAAATATTAGATAAAATTTGTTAACATTCATGAACTATGCATTTATAAAATTGAATACGATAATTTGGAGTTACAGTCGTTATGACTTGAATAAGCAAGAGTACCTATCTGCCAGCTGCAATTGGTAAAATAGTTTTTGATGTGTAAAGGTCCACAAGTAATTTCATGGACGATATAGCATGATTAGTAGTAAGTACCAAAGTCTATCTGGTATGGAGACACCAGTTTCCCATAGCTCTTTGCAATGCATGAGGCTGAAAAGAGTTTCTATCTTTTCATTTTGTGAGACAACTAATGATTCAACTTCGTAACTTTGAGAGATAAGTATGAAGCAGCTAACATGACAGATAAATACATATTGTAAAAGAATATGGAGCTTCTATCGTATTAAGTTATTAACTCATTGGTGCATTAACTTGTGGGCCTTTCTATAATTATAAAGCTGGAAAGAGATTGTTCTTTTTTCATTCTTGTGTAGTTTGGCCCCAGTTGGACAGATCTGTCTTTAACCGAGAAAAATCCCAGGCTGGTTTAGTACGCAAATTGATTGAATTTAAATGCAGTCTCTTGGAGGGAGATCTAGTACATTCCTATGGAAAATCGAAGACAATTGGTATCAAAACCCATCTTGAATCAGGTATAGTTCTGTTCATGCAACTCAGTACGAGTAAATAGAATGCTTAACTGACAGTATAAGGGTCGGTTTTACGTGAACTTTTGATTTATTATCGTGCAGTTGTACCTTAATTATTCCCCTAAAAGAAAAACAATTTCCAAATGATGGAATCTGGTTGATGATCATGTTTAAGTTCTTAAGAATTGAGAAAATTCCCTTTCTTCAGTCCACAATAACAAGTGTTTTTAAGGGGTCAGAGCCTCTTGACATGCATGGGTAAAAAAAG